CTGCTTGATCTGTGGATGGAACATGTTTACACCCTAACGGCGGATGCTCGCTACATCGCCTAACTAGTGTGAGAGATAGGTACATGTATAGAGTGTAGTGTACCTATGTTCTGATCCGTCATCAGCGCCATGCGCCCATCGCACTTTGCAACCGATCTGCAGACCACGAACCCCAACGCGCACTCTAATTCTTCGACAACGCTGCCTTGACTGTCAACGGCCGAATATCTGGAAACATCTCATTCAAAAACGGCGCCTTGTACAACATTCGCCCCTCCGCCATCCAAACTGCAATCTGCGCAACAAACTTCTGAAACATGGCCTTGCCACCAGAAAGCTCATACAGAGCCTTATTCCCCGGAAGCTCCGTAATCTCACCTCTCTCTAGCTTCTCAATAGGGTCGTACGCCACATCAAACTTGACGCCTTTGGCGGCTTCGGCGATAGCGATGAACTCATTCCACGTTTTAGTATCGCCAACGAGGAAGTACTTGGTCTCCCAATCCTTTAAACCCAGCAGGGCCACGGTCCATTTCGCAATGTCGGTCGAGTGGGTGAAGTACACGGGGTATGTGCCATCGCCGGGGATCGCGGCGGCATTTGCGTCGATGTCGATGGCCATTGCGTTTCTGGGGACGTGTGAAGGAGTGGATAGAGCGTAAAAGTCGAGGAAGACTCCCGGGAAGATGGCAGTCCATTCGAGGCTCGTCGTTGCCTTCATGGCATCCAGAAGCGTCAGCCTTGCAGCCGCCATCGGACTGACCTTGGCTTGCCTGATTCTACAAGTCAACAAAGTCCGTGTTAAAGAGCTAGCATTACTGACTCTTGCGTGTAGTCGAATCCGCTCCATACGCTGGGTATGAAGCGCCGCGTTATGGTAGAGCGGTCTGCCGCTTTGATGAGATTCACTTCGGGGGCCTGATCCAAGCCCGCAATGGTCGAGATGACGGTGTCTATCTTGTTGTCTTCGAGGAGCTGGACGAGCGAGTCCGGGTCGGAATAGTCCGCCTGTAGGACAGGCACCCCGACGTCATTCTGCAAAACGGGGTTGGTCTGAACGATGCCAGTCAGTGATTGCGATTGGGGCAGCACCTTCCGACATACCTTGCGAGCCAGAATGATGGGTTCGTAACGACTATCCATTTTCAGCGCGTCGACGACTGCTCGACCGAGCCCTCCGGAACCACCAGCGATCGCTACGACGTGAGACATGTTGGTAGATGACGCACAAAAGACGAAAGAAGCAAAAGAAGACTTGAATGCTATGGAGTCGTTTGACGTCTAGTCCAGCAGGTCCAGCCTACTTATACTTCAGGGCATATAGCTGTTGGACCGACCATCTTTCTCCTTGTAACAAAATCCTATTTTCTGCCTTGGAGCGCATTGCATTACTAGTTATCGTGCTTCTCTCCGGAGCTCGTCCGTGTAGCTTGCTGTTTTCATATTCGACCATCTGGCTGTTTTTGTATTTCCTAGACTGGGTTCCCATACCGTATACGCGTAGGATTCCTGAGCTTCATGCACACTCCGCTACAGCATCCGTCTCAGTCGATGTCGTGCTTGCAGGAGGAGGTAGGTACGCATCCTTCTTGACATTCAGCCAATAGGCTCGCTGGTCAGACTGTACCGCTCTCAGTAGCTCATTCGCTGCGTTCTGATCAGGACATAAACCGGACGCGCTTACCCCCTGTAAGCTATTCCCAAGAGAGCTCGATCGGTGGCTTGGACCTGAGTTAGGATCACCGGACGAAACACGCGCGAACTTCCAAGGTTGAATTCAACGCCCTGCAATGCTGGTCTCTAAGATTAGTTCCCTATAACGCAATCTTAACGGGTGACCGGAAAATTGACATTGCGCAGTTGCGCATTAGCTTGTATATGCCTTTTCGGGGCGGAATGTTTATTCTCGATAGTGGTCGCCCTACATTTGCTTTCCGTTGATCAAAGGGCATCCAGGCTTATTACAGTAACCAATACCACATTGAAAGACGAGCAAACCCGGATTGACGGACGGCTGACCACAATGAAGAACTTCGTGTCCACTTTATTCGATGGTTCTCCGCAATTGCCGTCCTCGCTTCACCGGCTCCCATCCATCTTTCTCTCCACAAGATTCATCCCAACATCCCTCAACTCTCTACACGTTTGAAGTTTTGCCCTAAACCCTGGCGCCTTGGTGGGTAAATATCAACATTGATAAGAAAACCCTCCCATTTGACGGAGAACGTACGTACTTGACCGGCTCAGTAAAATCAAACGTTCTGCAACTCCACTCCCTCTTCAGCGATTCGTTATGCGCCAACTTCATCTTCGCCCTCCGAATCACTCCATACCTCCTTCAAGAACTCCTTCGTTATACCCGCTTCCTGCGGAGCGTAAATTGATTGGGACTACCGAGTAAGCCATATCTTTAAGCGAGTGATCCCTATGGGCCAGCAGGAACACGAACGTTCGAAAAGACACCATAAAACTGCTGAAAACCAGCAGCCATCCATTGTTCTCTGTGTCACGCTTTGTGCACATACCGCTCATAAAAAAGGCAACGAAACACAGCCACCCAGGAATGAGGAGGAATTGCATCCAGCCAAGGGTTTTGATGCCATCGGTCTTGATATCCTCATTCCACATTTGAATTTCGAAGTAGCATTGTCGAAAGGATAAGCCGAACAGGTATTGTGCAAAGGAATAGAGGATGCCAGCAAAGGTAAAGAAGAACCCGGCAATGCCACAAAAGTCGAAGAGGCGGGATTTGATATCGGCATATCGATATTGCATGCTGAGGAGCGTGGCGGCGAGTGAGAGGGGGAGAAATATGGCAGAGATGATTGTAAGCGCCGACATGCTCTTCGCTTGCCGGTCCTGGGAGACTGAGCATAAAGCGAGAAGCTGTCCTCTCCCAGTCTGTCTTGAAGTTGTGCTTCACTTGCAAGAGAGTGGCTTTTCGCTTTGACACGTTTGAAGAAGGATGCGACGCCCACGCGTGGTAGGCCTTGTTCTTCGAAAATGGCAACAGTCTCGTTGTGAGATAGCCTAGGAAAGACTGAATCTTCTCGGTCTTCTCTATCACCCGCTTGCAGAAGTCGAAGTACCGCACTCGTAGCTCCATTCTGTTAAAACTTTCGCGAACGAACCAAAAGCCGCGTACTTTCGGGAAAAGATATGTTAGCGATTTATTTCTGGACAACAGAAGCAGACACCTCTCGAGCCGATGTAAATCGGCATTTACTACGTCCGCCATGACTAACGCCAGACGCTGCTTGCATGATGTGGCCTCGGAAATGCAGAGGGCATCTCCATCGAGAAGATTCTGGTAGAAAGCTCTCTGACAACATTACAACCTATGCATAAACTTTGCAATCTTGAGATCTGGCTCGGCCATTTGGTGTAATTTCCTCAGGTCGAATCAGACAACTGCCACAATCAGCCAAAATATAGTTCAACACGGCCATAAATGCACCCGTGAGCTTGTCGACCTCGCTCCTGTAGAGTCTCAATTGATTTTGGATGACCCACTTCCAGCTCATGCCCCGGCAGTAAAGCCAGAGATCCACGTCTTTCTGCAGCCTTGAAGTATCGATTTCGGGGAAGACGAAGTTGGCTACATCACCTTTGTTGTCAAATCGTTGAAAATTGATCGCCCAGTTTTTGTTTTTTGTTTGAGGAATTCCTGTCAATGTACGCAGCTACTTGCTCGTCGCCTAAAGACTTGAAGACGTTTCTTGCAGTCTTCCACAGCGGAACTAGGTATATTCGCAGCGTTTTCGGCTCTTGCGCTGCAATATGAAACTTGATGTCCTAAACGCGAGGAGCGGTAGTGGCGTTATAAACATCGATATCGATAACAAGTCCTTCTCCGCTCAAGGTCTTAAGAGAGGATGCGGCCCGTGGGATTTCCGGTTGTAGCGGTATGGTGCAAGTAGAATGAGGTGCATCGTCAATGGCACCACAACCGGTATCGTCGTTCGTGGCGGTAGGTAGAAGCCATTCGCGGTCTTCGGGATGTCGGAATGTCATGCCAATAGGTGGCAGGATGCAATGCGTCGGAGGTGGAGAGGAAGGTAGAAGATTTTCAGACCGAAAAGAGACTGTTCATAGTGTTATATCCATACTTTGGGCGTCCTGAAGTCCGAAGATTAACGAGGGGCACAGTAATAATGCGTGTAACAGCCGCGATTCCACCAACAATTGTCTGCGTCTCACATGGTGGAGCACGGGCCGTTAAAAATTGCTTTGCTTTTGAATAGCGCTTCTGATGTGGAGGGATCGATGAGGTCCTCTTCGTCACCTGGGGTCTGCTCGTAGAATTGAACGAGAGTTGGAGGAAATCTTTCAGAAGGCTAGCGCCTAGCAATGGTCAAAATACACCGCCCTCCGCCATGATTCAGTGTATGCTGGGTAAGGAGCCACATTGCACTAATTTTGCTATTGTCGAATGAGCCACCGTCTCGACCTCCTCCGCGGAAGCATTGGAAAGGGTGATCAAGACATCATATATAGGCTCATGAAACCAGACGCAAGTCCACGGGTGCGTCGCTTGGATGGGACGCATTGATGAGTGGAGGTTAGCTGAACTTTCTTGAGGCGAGGCGCGGGGACAACAGAACCACACTTCGCCGAGCCGCTAGGAGGCTACAACAACAGTTGCAATTCCACGATGAAGCAGAATATCGCCGCGCGTCCAGGAGTGGGAAGAGAGCTTGCAACCTTAGATTAAAATTACTCATTCTGTGATACATGATTTGCACGACCTCTCGCGCCGGCATCATATTTCGCCTTGCCACGTTCCAGCCGTCGCCGCCCACAAGCGAACAGGCGAGCCAAAACCGGTGGTAACAGCCGCACCTCCCGAGCCCTGCTATCCCCATGAGCCCCGCAATCCCCTCTGACTCAGCCACCAAGCTGGTCCTATCCATTTAACCATCCCCAGCCATTTGCAAATCGCATTTATTTATAAGGGATATATATTTTTGTCGCTGCAAGAAATCATACAACAAATCAAAGCTTCCTTGGTGTAGTTGGTTATCACGTGGGTCTCATAGCTCTTACTATGACTGTTCAAAGCAGCAGGAATCCCAAGGCCGCCAGTTCGAGTCTGGCAGGGAGCATCAAAACTTTCTTTTTGCGTGTGCCGTAACACTCCTATCATGCATGATCAGGGGCCGATCTGGAATTTTTTTAAAGGTTGTTGAGGGATGTTGCTTGGTATGTGAAAGTGTATCGCGGGAAGAATAGTTTCTGAAGGGCTTTGGGTCACCCTTGGCCTTGTAAGTGTAGTATCTCAGCATGCGCGATATAGAGGTATGTAAAAGTAAGTGGTAGCAGTTCCTAGTACGGGATATTTCAAGTCATGAAGAAATTTGTTCGAGCGTTCCAGTACGGTTTGCACCGGTTGCGCCTTTCTCATCGGAACCATCGTCAATCCATTGTTCTCTTATTACAGAGTCCCCAATGCGCCAAGCTGGATATTGAGGGCCTTTACATCGCCCTCTTAATTACAAAAAAGAAGACGAGCGAACGCGAGCAGCGCTTAGGAGAGAACATAACCCCTCCCTGGTGCCCTAGCCCTAACGCTAGAGTACTTGTAAGAGGAGTTAATAATAATAGAAGAAAGAAAGGGAAGGTAAAATAAAGCATAATAGAGAGGTCTAGTGAGGCACTATAGCTGTGATAGAGTAGCTAGCTAAGAAATAGCTAAAGCTAAGCTACTAAGCCAGCTTACTACCTTATGCTATAGTACGTAGTTAGATTATATATATAGCTTAGCATACTAAAAACATAGACCTTAGTAGGAGGTATAGCTAAGGCTTAAGGCTATATAGCCTAGTGCCCCTATATCTAGCCCACTAAATGAATAAACTAACTAACCAACTATCATGTAAAAGTCCCTCGCACAAACCCAGCCTTCAACGCGGGGAGTGTTCCGATTTCGCGCAAGCCAATACGTGTCTTCCACGCGCATGATATCGAAGGCCTTGGAAACGCAATCAGTACAAGGTATTGGAGGGAGTAATACAGTTGGACATGCTCACCTGACCTAGTCTGTATTCTAGCCAAGGATACCCTTTAAAATTAGGTATTTCGTAGAGCTCAGGCTGAGTGAATACACATCGGCTAGCTGCAATGAACTGAACCTTGGGGTCAATTTTGGCGACTTCTCTCTCGTCTCTGGAAAATATGCTGGGCGCGTGATCATCTCTTGGAACGTTTTCGACGTCTTGGTTGTCTTCAACAGCATGGCCGGCTCCTAGATGTATGGATTCATTGAAAATATGGCCGGTTCCTAGATTGGCGGCATCCGGATCTTGGAACATCTTGCCAAAGCGATGCTCGAGCATTTCGTCAATGAACAGTGCCCTAATGTCGCTTTCAAATCGATAGTGCGCCGGATTCGAGAGATCATTGCTCCACACCGGAAGACGGAGTACAGATATAGCTGACACGTTTGCCAGCGTAAGATCAGAGAAGATTGAAAGCGCCATGGAAGCCCGCTCGGAGTTGCTAATTGACCAGGCGGAATCTTGTGGTCGCAGTTTCTTGTAAACGCGGGAGTTGTTCAAATCCTCTTCGAACGCCCATTTCTGGGAGTCTGAGTTTGAGGTCGCTTCTGAGGTGCTACCCAGCGACGTCGGTGCGACAGGGGTATGATCGATCGACATCGCATCGATTCGGCTCCTGATCTCCCCATTGCTTTGTATGAGGCGTTCAATTGTTTGGGTGAGCTGCTCGGTTGAGTTCTCCGCTTCTTGTTGAGATTCGCTGTGCGCAATAAGCATATCGTTGCCATTGCTTGCTGGCCAGATCCTTACCATTGCAAAATCGTCAACATGAATATCAAACTCAGTTTATTTGCTTGCACCTTCTGCACCAGTTTTGCGATTTCGCTCTCGTAATACACCCATTTCGCTCTTTTCACCTGCCCATCAACCACACACTTGCCCACCACCCTTTCCAGATCCGAGTATGTTGTCACGCAAGCAGTCATACTGGTGACAATAGCGCGCAAAGACAGCATTGCGCGTCTGCCTGCACTGGTTTGAGAAGCCCCAGTGAGGTAGACCTGCAGCTGCTCGAGTGCTGCGGTAATGCTTTGCATTTCGCTGAGAACCTGCGAGGCTGACTTTGGGGAGTCGCGCGTGTGCGATATGAAATGCTGGAGCACGGGGGCAATGCGGGATGCGGCTGCAATGAGGCCTACCACTGCGGAACCGATCGATAGAGGGTCCATGGTGTCTTTTGCGGATATTCTCAACTCTGTTGAGGTGGAGGTTGGTGATTGTGTATCGTGACGGTAGGCTGAGCCAGTTGAGGTGTATAGGCTGGGGTGGCGGTGTTCGAGATGCGATCTGCTCGACAGCCTTGCGCCTTCCTACTGGTCCCCGCATGGCACAGGACACGAGAAATGTGCATGTACTAACTGAAAAGAAAGGCATTATGAACTAGAAGTGGATTGAGCTAGCGGAGACGGTGAAGATGCAAGTATAAATCGATAGACCGCGAGCCGGCAGGGTGTGAGAAGCTGAAATTGATTGAATGGACGAAATGGGGCATGTAGATTTGTTACTCAAGACGACGGAGTGGCAGGTGGAATCTAGAGTCGCGAAGAAAAGTGCGCTTTACACCCCTGACACCCGCGGGTTAGGAGAGAGTGGCGGATAGAAGGCAGTGTCATTTTTGCGCAATTTAAGTGGGTTGTGGTGGGGTCAATGAAGCGAGACATGTGGACTTGGAGAGATTAGAAGTGGATGATGGGATGGAGCTTATACCTCAGGAAGGTGAGGTGGTCGCAGCTGCCCACACAACCCTTCACCCATTCCGTATACTCTAGATGGCCAGTTTTCAGCGGTCGTTCCTCTAGAGAAATGACGGTTGTCCATCGAACGTATATGCCATAGATGCCAGACCCTAGAAGCGTCCCGCGTCGTGATGTTTGTAAATCATACATATGGTATACAGTACTGAAAGTCTTATACAATCCACCTCCACCTACAGCGGCGGCGCCCCCTTCGCCAGCGGTACGCTCTCCTCCTCTATGGCCGCATCAAAGTCCGTTTCACTGATCTCCGTCTCGGTCTGCGGGCCCGAGAACATCTGCGCGCGTTGGGCCTCCTCATCCTCGATCTGCTTGCTGGCCCAGCTCTTCCAGTTCTCCCAAGTTCGATCTTCAAGCTCCATGCCGACTTCGAGCGGTCCCTTGCCGAAATAAGCACCTACGTGCAAAGCTTCTTCTTTGGCGACGCGCCGCCGGATATCCTCGAGGTGGCGGTGTTTGTAGAATTCGCGTCGGGCGACGTCATAGGCGGCGGCTTGGGAGAGGGAGCGGTTGTTCATGAGCCAGAGCTGGCGCTGGACGACGCTGGGGTGACTATTAGCAACGTGCATCCACGAGCCTGCATATATCCTACCTCTCGCCATCCAGCTGCTTCCCCGGCTGCACAATCTTGCTCCAATCGTATCCCTTAGCATCATTTCCGCTGTCCTCGACTATAAGCCTCGGTTTGGCCAGTTCCCACGGGTGGTCGCCGAAGAATTCCGATCGTAGCTTGTCCTCGGGGTATCTGATGGGCAGCGGTTGGAACATTCTGCTGGGCTTCTTCGCGCGCTTTGGGGTAGGCGCCCGCAGTACAGGCCGGGCGAGGGTCTCGCCAGGAGGTATGTCGCCGACGATGTCGTACCATTGGGGCAGACCGGGGATGCGTTTGGAGTCGAAGAGGGCTTTCGCGGTTTGGCGGACGCGCATCGGCCGGAAGTCGTAGCGGCCCATGGCGGGCGGTGGTGCTGTTGTTCAACTGCTGCAGCTAATTCTATCGCATCGAATACGTGGGAGGAATTGACAGCGGCTGGCGGTTAGGGGCGTCCAATTGGTGGTGATTGTCGCGGTGGAATTCAATGTTCTCGTGAGCGCGCGGAGAAAAGCTGGGCGGAAGTTGCCGCTAGAAACTTTCGCCGACGCGACGACCTCCTCGCACACCCATCGCCCTCCACGCCGCTTCTCCGACCGCCTTCGGCTTGCCAATGGGTCTCTTTTGATCCCGTTGAGCTTCCGCTGCCCATGTTTCGCGCCCAAGCAGACCGCCGCTGACACGATGCTCGCCCTCTCATGTCCCTTTTCCGCACCCTCGACCGGACCTCCGCCGTCTCGCACACCAACTATACACGCCCGTTTCTCACATTTCTGTATCCCATTTCGTGCTGCAAACCGTCGACTCGCATATTCACGAAGAGCGCGATAAACCGGCCGCCGAAGATCCTATCTGCGGACAGCAAGCGCATGGACGGCTTCTTCATCCAGGCATTGGCACGCGCGGGATCCTGCCCGGAGCATGCAAAGCAGATATACACCCTTCGCAATGTCAATTCAAACGCCACATCATACCACAAGACGCGGCGGAAGGCGGCGTTGCAGTATCAAGAGCGACGCGAGTTCAAGTCGACCAAGGCAGAGAGAAGAGGTCCCCTCAAGCGAGCCAAGCAGTTCGCCAAGAAGGAGTTGCAGGCGCTGGTGGAATACTACGGCATCGAACTCGCCGCAGAATCTCAAGAGGACATAGCAGACGAGGGGTCGTTAGTTTGGAATGTGGGAGACGACCACGAGCCCTGGCCTAGCAATGACACACAGGTCATTTCCGCTACGAAGATAATCGAAGAGCTCTTACAGAATGAGGAGTCGCCGCATGAGGCTATACACGAAGCGTACAAACTTCTACCATTCCCTGGTGTGGTTTACCTAAGTTCCAAGACCATCCATGCCATGTTACATCACTTCTCCGTCCTGGAACGGCCGACCGCGGTCGCAATGCATCGCTTTCTCGCTATCCTGGACGATATGAAGAAAGCGCACATACACACATCACGCTCGGAATGGAGCACGGCCATACACCTTGTCGGGAGGTTCTATGGCAAGGTGTCCTCAGAGGAGGTCCAGTCGGCGCTTCGCGTCTGGCGGGACATGGAACGTCGCGCCGGCGTCAAGGGAGATGTCGTAACATTCAACATCCTATTCGATGTCGCAGTCAAAGCGGGGAAATACACCCTTGCGGAGACCTTCCTCAAAGAGATGAAAGCACGCAAGCTCAAACTCCACCGACACTTCCGCGTCTCTCTCATT